GACATTTGAATTTCGCTCAATGGCTTGACTTTTTTATTCTGCAAAAATTTAAAGACGAGAAAGTTTCCTTCGGAAAGGTTTTGGTGAACTGGGCATGCTTAAATAATGTTTGGCTCTTACTTACTACCTGTTCTACTACCACCCTTGAACACATTATCATCCTACCGTACCTTGTTCCTACTGTGCCTAAATCCTTTGTTTTTTTTTGTTGATTTACTTCTGTAGTGGGTGGAGCGTTGCCAGAGAGAACCAAAGACAGCGCCCAGAGAGAGGTTCTAAAGTTTTTCTACTAGCACAATTTGATAGGGCTACATGTGGAAGGGTGCAGGTGTTTGTTCAGAGACTTTTTGGAACGACAGATGCTGAAAAGTACATTCAGCTGACTGCTGCTGATTCCCTTTCCAGCCACCTGCATGAAATGCATGCTGACAATTGCATGAAATGCTTGCTAAGAGACGATTTATAAAATATGCAAGAATAGATGTATGACGATTGCAGATAGACAGGTGTTGTAGAAGACATAGGGTGACATAGAAATAGGAACTATTTAAGAGTAGTTACTATAGGGATGGTATTCTCGACAACATCGACGAGCACGATAGGTTCATACAACATCTTCGCGTCAGCGCTATGAAAGCTGAGACTTCGAAAGTCACCAAGAAACGTCTGTCTCTAGAAAACTTCGAGCTAATACGTCAGCGTGGAATCGGACAAGATGCAGGCAGCCGCGAACTTACATCAGAAGTTGCGAAACACTGCAGACAGGCGATTAAAGAAGATCTTAAAGAGAGAAAAGTACCAGCATTGGTCGAAGCTACACAGGCTGGGAAAAGCATTCGCAAAGCCTACCGAAGCTTCGCCAATTAAAAGCGGCAGTGGAGGAAAGCATTCATGACTACCGTTCAGATCTCTTCAAAAGTTGCCTCGTTTTCCCTAATTGAATTAAGAGAGAATGGATATCTCCTGCCACCGGTTCTTCCTCCCGAAATCCGACATGCTATTTTGTCGGTGGAAAATGGAACAGTACCACGTCCAGACAGAGTAAAATCAAAACCACTGAAGAAACTTTCGCCAATCTACGTTAACACAGTGACTTGGCTTTTCGCGCACTACTTGCCTGAACGCAAAGCTGCTACTCAGTGGAAGGCCAGCAAGATCGTGTTATTGCTCACGAAGGGTGACCTCCACGATATCGACAACTATCGCCCAATATGCTCGCTCTCTGCCATCTGCAAGCCTTTCGTTCAAGTCGTCTTAAACAGGGTTGACAGAACACTGGATAAAGGGCAACTATGTGAGCAAGCAGGGTTTCAAAAGGGATTCTGTACAATGGACCAATATCTACATCGATACTAATATCGAGGTCAAAAGAGGTGATAGCCAAAGCGATAGCATTTCGTCAAAATTATTTACCGCACAATAACCACATAATAACAAGCATCTTTGGAATATCGCCACTGTAGAAAAGACCGCTGAGTCATATTTTCCACGATTTTAAGAAGGTTTTCGATCCAGTTGAGATAAAAGCAGTTACGCAAGCTCTCGAAATTCTGGAAGCCTCCACTCAGTACATGAAGATTCTTCGTGAGCTGTATAAAAATTTAACAACCAAAATATCTACATCGGTATTGACACTGACATCAAAAGAGGGGATAGGAAAGGCGATGCCATTTCGTCAGAATTATTTACTGCCACGGTCGAGAACGTCATGCGAACATTGGCTAGGGATAATATGGGAGTGAAAATTACACCACCTTCGTTTTGCTGATTACGTCGCTCTTATAACACCAAAAATTAGTCAAATGGAACGAAGGTACACATTGGTAACTCCTGTGAAAAGATTTGTCTCTGACTAAATTTCACAAAATATTGTTTATGAGGAACAGACTAGTTACGCATGTCCCATTGCCGCTCAATATATCCGTATTCTCCAACTACTTCTTTCAAGGCCGCAAAATCAGCTTAATGAACGACTTAGCTCCAGAGTTGAGCAGAAGGAAACGAGCGGCTTGGACAGCTTTCAAGAGCGTCAAGGAAGTAGTGAAGAGAACAAAGAGCACGTGACTACGTGCCTCGACTTGACGGTACATCTTGCCTTAACGTATGCGTAAAAAACCTTGTCGCTACGTAAGTAGGATAAAAATTGCTCAGCGTCATTGAACCGCAGTCGAAAGGACGGTGCTAGGAGTATCCCGTGTCACGCAAACAAGGGAATGGATCCGAAGCTCCGACCCTCGCCAACGAGCAAAAATCAAAGATGCAGTTCTGTATGCTAAATTGTGGAAGATAAGGTGGGCCAGACACGTAATGCATAAGAACGACAACAGATGAATAAGAGTTGTTAATGACTGGATTCCTCGGGAAGTCAAACGTCCTCTAAAAAGACCACCAACACGATGGAAAGAGTTCTTCATAAATGGGCTAGAAGGAAGGTATGATGCTGAATGAGTCCTTGAAGCAATCAAAACCCACTGGGCCGCTCTTTCACGCGAAAGGAAGAACTAGAAGGTTTACTGACGTCCGCTCGAGTCTGTAAACCATCAACGGGACTGCAGGTGACAGCTGGTGCATTTGGTCCACAGTAACAACTTTTAAACACGTTCTAATATTGAAAGCGTTTTAACAAATTATTTAAGGCAATCTAAGGTATTTCAAAGCTTTATCGAAAGATCCGTAATCTTTTCAGAATAGATTGCCAATATTTTGCCACACTGCGGTAGCCATAGAAGTTCACAAGATTTAATTCCATGAAATCAACAAAAAATAACAAAGAATTTAGGCACAGTAGGAACAAGGTACGGTAGGATGATAATGTGTTCAAGGGTGGCGGCGTTTGTTTTAGAACTGTGACATTTCGTTTCCGGTTAACATCGCCGAAGTTGGCATTTTTAGTAACGTATAGTGTGCTCTATTTGAGTTTCTATTGTATTTTTAATATCGTTTAAAACAATTGGAAGGTGGGTAATGGTCTTTGTCTAAGTATCCCGACGTTAGGACTGTGCAGACGTCTCCATGAAATGAATGCGGATGGACTCCTTTTCATTTCCTGAGTTTCACGATTTGTGATCCACACTCGTGTGGATGCGTCCGCTAGTTAGCTAGGCCAATGCGCTGGAACGTGTTAGTGAGTCAGTGGAAAACAGTTCATCTAATCAGCTGATTCAGCCACATAACCAGTTAATTCTGTAAGGAATGCTCGTCTCCATGTGATTTGTCACACAGGGCTTTTTGTTTTTGTCACGCAACGGGTACCAACTGAAGTAACTAAAGCTTTATATGCAGCAATATCTATACAACAACAACGATACGGTTACAATGAGAACGCAAGAGCAACTTAATGGCTGAGTTTGTATACGTGCAATGAAGGGGCGGTGCAGCCACTGAACGTTTTCGATACTGTACATTGACGTTTATCACAACGTAGACAAAAATTGCAAAGATCATGAAGAAGAGGTTACAAGTCTGCAATGCAGACGCGTGGGGGTTGATGGTGGAGGTCCTCATCATATGACGGAATAAGAAAGTTAATGTATATTACGAAAAAAAATATAGAGATCAAGGAGGGAGAACTTATTGCAGGAGTTGATTTCGTAATGTAAAAGAGGAGAATAGTTGTGTATAGAATTGTGGACAGTGGGCATATAAACGTGTAGTATTATGGAAAAATGGTTAGTATTTAGAGGAATAGTTACTTCTTGCCTTAAGTTCATTATCAATCTTGTATTGCAAGTCTCCGCATCGGCAAAATATTATGATGACTGCTCAGATGGAAGACTTCACTACAACAGCCGATGGGGGAGAGACGAACTGTAGTGACGTTGAAACTTCCGGTGTTGACACTGAAACGAAAAACAAATAACTAAAATAGGAAAATAAATAACTAAAATAGAACTAGCTGAGAGACAGGCAAAACGAAGAACCCGGATGGTGTGGTGGTGAAGTGCGCCACTCCCCAGTAAGGACAATAGCGCGTTCGTTCCCTACCGCAAACACCTGCGGTTCGGAGCTTTGCAAATATCTCAGCATCATTGAAGTTAAAATAGGACAGTTTTTATTCCCAAGTCCGACTTTCTATTAACCTCGGCATTGATTGAATATATCTTTTTACTTCTGTTCAGCAAGTACGAGGTGCTATTTTATTTCTTTATTTACGCACAAGCTGACGTTTCGGCAGATTTCGCCTTCCTCAGAGCCTGGAAGGGTCAAGTTGACAGCAATCCACTCGGCCAAACACCTCCATAACCAAACAGAGAAAACTCTAAACCAAGATTTCAATCACATTTAGCATAGCTCTGCGCACTCACCGCTTTCTATGAGTCTTCCACTGAGTATATCGCGTGAAGACCGACCGCACAGAATTCACATGGAAGCGTAATGTGCCCCTCCCATCAGAATATTCTGAATAAATGAGATTTCGTTGCTGCGTAGCAAGTGGATAGTGCATTACTTAGTGGCACAGGCCATCAGGAAGCGAGGTGCTGGTTCGATGCGCTCCCAACGCTTTCCTCCATTCCACGTGGGAGCACCTAAGCTCACCTCTAGACTAGTTCGAGTATCGACTCGGCCAGCACTCTACGATATTCATAAAGAAGTCGGAATCCTTAAGCAGTAGGTGAAATAACAAGCGGAGTGTTTGACGACTTTTTTGAACAATGAACGAATGCAAACGAATCGAATGCAGGATGTGCTGCAATCCGCACGGTAGACGTGATGAGGGATCGCGTAGATGAATACAATACAATAAATAATTTTTTTATCAATTTCTGAAATCTTCAGCTCTAGAAGTGCTCTAACTGACTTATAGTAGTTAATGGCTAACGTATTAGCGCATAAATGCAAATCACCAATCAACTGTCTCAATAGACCTTCCTGGAGTAATTCCTGGAGTAAAAGTTGGAAATTATGCAAAATTTCGGGCAGAACTTCCTCAAGTCACATATAATGCCTTAAGCTAAAATTTCTATTAAATTGGATAGAAGATCAGGGTTAGAAAAAGCGTTCAACGTTAATCAATCCCTGATGGATGCGCCATGCATTCGACACCATTCGTAATATCGTTAAGGTGATTGTGGACACATATGGCTAATATATACTGTAACTCGCAGTTGCCTATAGATGTATCAAGTCTGTGCTGCTATCCCTCATTACAAATATTGCACCAAATTCGGTGGCATGGTGGCAGGACCTGCTGATCTCGAGGTTTCAGCTGCTCAAGAAATGAACAAGTCTCGCACCTTTTTCGATCCCTTGCGATGTTCACCCAGCTCATTTGTTCATGTTCTCCAACTCAGACCCAGAAAACTACAACGTTTACGTTGCGTTCGTTGTTGATCGCCATCGTGGATTGTAGCGTTTCTCTTGTAGTTGTGTTATCCAAATGGGTTGATGAGTACGCGATTGGCGGCGCTATGGGTTATGGCAAATGGAATGAATCCAGCTGTAAAAATGAAGGCAACACTTTCTTTCTAGTTTCAACAGCAAAAATGTGAACATTTTTGCGGAGGAAAAGGGCCAAAGGTTGTGGGATACCTTTCTTGCATTTGTGTTGCGTACCGCGTCCACGAGATTTTCTCTTGAAGAAGTCTGAGGTAGTTATAGCCACCATTACAGCTACTATTGTTACCAACATAATGGCTAATGCAGCCATTTGTGCTTGTCCATGATTTCACTGACCTGAAAAACGTTTCTCACAGAAAATGAAGTGGTTAGCGAGTAAATCAGAAATGAAGTGCAAGCTTAGTGTTTTCTAAATTAACCCTCATTAGAATTACTCTATTGACTGTACCATTAGATAATATCCAGAGATTTCTGAAGAGTAGAGAACATAGAGCGAATCACTTAGCGGTACTTCTTATTTGAAAGGATAAAAACAGTGACTTAGTTTTTTAAAAAAAATAAAAGCGAAACACAACCACAAGATTGCTGAATTATTTGAAAAACTTGGCACCGCAGGTGTCTGAGGTGGGGAACGAACGCGCTATTGTCCTTTCCGGGGAGCAATGCATTCACCACCACACCATGCGGGTCCTTCATTTCGTCTCTCTCTCAGCTAATTCTATCGATCTTTGCCGTCAGCAATCACCCGTCAATGGCATAATACCCTGCCGTTAAATTATAGAAGGCAGAAAATAAAAAGTAAAACATTGTGAATTCAACTACAGGTGACGACACTGATAGATAGAACTAGCTGAGAGACAGGCAAAACAAAAAACCGCGCATGGTGTGGTGGTGAACGCGTTACTCCCCGGAAAGGACAATAGCGCGTTCGTTCCCCACCGCAGACACCTGCGGTCTGGAGTTTTGCAAATATCTCAGCAATCTTGTGGCAAGTTTTTATGTTGAATTGCAAAGAGAGCAAGAATGATGACGGTTGCGGTTTTCGGAAAGTATCTGCACTAAGGTAATCAAGAGCATCCTGAAAAACACTGAACGTTTTCCGCTTTCATGTGAGCTGTCTTAACGCTATCACTAATGGATAAAAGCGCTACTGCGTCGACCCTTGAAGGATGTGCCACGCATTCATATTCACTTGAAGCGTGCTAGATTCAAGTTAATGCACCGTTGGCCCATACAATGTGCAATACCCGCATAAGACTCGCAGGTAGAGAGATTTCACAAATTCGATCCCGAATGGACAGAAGGCTTGTTCTGCTTTGGGCAGGAGAGCAAACCGACTACTACTAATCTCACAGGCCACCTCCAACCACTGTGCCCAACAAGCCTTTAAACAAATTTCAAATCGAGACCTCACCACGGTAATTAGGCAGATGGCCAATGCATTTATTTTCACGTTACAACTACAGTGAAAACCAAAAAATCCTTTCAGCAGTTGCCTTTGTGTTTTAAATGAGAAAAGGTAATATTCGCATGGAACCCACCGTCAACTATAGCACTAATTCTAGCGAATCCTTCAGTGTCGTCAAGTGCAACGTTGTTGTTTCCGGGAAGGGAGAGGGTGGGCATTTTTGTGGTGAAAACACTGACACCTGATGAAAAAATGGGTGATATTCCACTACATGGAGGCTGATGTAACAATGAAGATACATTCGCGATGATCTAATGTAGCAGAGATTGGTGGCTTCTAAGCCAAAATTACCAAAAGTCTCGAAAAACCGACTTTCTATAAACCTCGGCATAGATAATTGATCAATTTATATGATCACATAAATAAATATACCAAAAATCTGATGAAGATGTAATCTCCGAAGTGAAAGAAATGAGTTCCGCGAAGTATTAGATTGTTATGGACGGTACTTTACAGTGTATTTAGCAATCTGCTCGAAAACAGAGTTCTTTCGCCGGTGCGGAGATATTTTTCACAATTCGTCCTCACAATGGACATGGTTCCAGACTGTTATAAATTGCCCACTAAGAAATTACTATGGCATTATTAAACTATTTCGGTACAATATTCAACTCTTTGTTTACTATCTATTATTTTTCTCAGAGCAGGGTATTATGTGAACCACGAGCAAAATGATGCCGAGTTGTTTGCAATATGAAGCCTCCGGCTAGAATCGAACCCGCGATTACTCACTGCGGATGCTCACGTGTAACCCATAGCACCATTGCAACCCTTGTTTCGCCTTTCTCTAAGACATATTCATTTTGGTATAATGTATGACGCCTCTCTTTTTTGACTGATTAAATATATGTTGAGAAGCTTATTTCGGGCGATCACTGATTGCCTATGGATTAGCTTTGGTACGGCAAATGTTCACTTAAACGTCCTATTTATATGTTCTTACGAGCTGATATTATTGAGCTGATGCGAGGTTGGTAAAGATCTTGAAGTAGTTATAGCTGCCCTTCCTCAAAACGATGCTCCATGCGTTGGACTCTTTCCGTGGTACTGGCGGTGTGACTGAAAGGATATCTGATCCTTAGCGTTATGTCAAAGCAGGAGGGATAGAAGGATTGGTGTGCTAGAGGTGTCGGATTTGGCCAGCGACCTGTTTCACTGTGTAGTGCACATATAACCGCTTCCCTATGGACACTCGATTCAGTTACAACGTAAGTTTCGTGCTAATCTGCCCGCAGGTAAAAGGCCTTGGAAAGTGCAAAACTGAATCAACGACGAAGAAATGGCGATTAAAACACTGCTATGTCGGATCGAATGATCATCCATAGATGATCGAAATTCGGAACAGCGTTGAGAGTCAAAGATTCTAAGGAAAGAGAAAAAGAAACATTCGCGACATCTGTGACAACAAGGGAATTTATAGCAGGTGATGATTAGTTCATTCTTAGGAAAAGAAGACATTACAGCTGAATTCAACCATGTTGTCGAAAAGATTTTCACGTGAACACTGTCGCGACCATATGGTGATCATTGCACAGAAACGGAAGAATAAGAAAACATAAAAACCAATCTTTTCTAATCTTCGTTTAAAGAGAAATTGCAGAAACATTTTGAACCACCGATGCTGGCGCTTTCACAACGAAACCTTTCTCATATTCTTCGCCTTTGCCGCATATATCGTATACTGCTGGTCTAAGAAAACGTCGGCAGTCATGAGAAGAAATCTGATTTCGTAAGACTCAATAGTCACAATAAACTCTGTTTTTTTTTGAAACATGGGAACTGCCCTTCTTGAGCTGGCTCGTCTTTTATCACGTGTTCTCCAGATTCGGCACCTCACGTCTCAAAGAGTTTTCCTGTTTCGGGGCCTGGACGTATTTTAAGTAGCTTTTCCACTTAGAATTCAGTGGATTTTCCGTAGCATTAATGAAGACGCGACGCACGAATGGAGGTGATTTGTTAAAAACTACTCATCGTTTCTTTTCTCGTTTTCGACCTCTGAGCTGAAAATGAATCGAAAAGACGAATGCCTCAGCATTATAGGTGACTTGGCGTCTTTTCTCAGGTTTAATTTTTGAGAGTGATTTCATCCCACGTGAGCGCCACATCGGTGCCCCCACAGCTCACAAGGCGGAAACAGTGGGCGATTTATAACTAATTGTCATTCATATGTACAGTGAGCTATTGCAGAGAATTAAAAGACTTACCTGCTCAATATGTAAGCGATCGCCTTCACTGAGCTACGAGCGGGGTCAAATGCATTGCACATATCTCTTCACAGTTCACTGTGACTATTGAGCCCGCCCAAAATCAGAAATCTTATTACTTCTGACGTTTCTTAGACCACAACTATACGATGTAAGCAGCCAAGACGAAGAAGGTTGTTAATAGGCTATCACTGTAAAAGCGCCAGAATCAACGGTTTAAAACGTTGTCGCAGTTTCTCTTCAAACGAATTTTAAAAAGACTATTTGATTTTCTTCGTACTTTTGTTGAGCAAACGCGAGGTGTTACTATTCTTTGTTCACGATTAAGCTGACGTTTCGGCGGATTTCGCCTTCTTCAGAGTCGCTTTCTATGAGGTTTCCACTAAGTATGTCACGTAGAGACCAACCGCACAGAAATCACGTGGAAGTATAATGTGCAATAGTCGGTCGTGGCAGTTACTATTTGATTGATTTTTATGTTTTCCTACACTTCCGTTTCTGTGCAGTGATCATCTTTTGGTCTTGACAGTGTCCACGTGAAAATCTTTCCGACAACATCACTGAATTCAGTCGCAATGTCTTTTTTTTCTAAGAACATATCAATCATCAGCCACTACAAATTCCCATAGATGTCGCGGATGTCGTGAGTGTTTCCCTTCCACTTTATGACGCTCAATGCTATCGCGAAATTCGACCTTCTATGGATGATCATTCAATCCGACAAGGCAGTCCTGTAATCACCATTTCTTCAACGCTGATTCAATTTTGCACTTTTAAAGCCTTGTGCTCAATGAGCAAGATCAATTTTAGCCAGGAATTTTAGCCCGAGGTTTACGTTGTATTTAAATCGGATGTGTATAGCGAAGTGGTTATTAGTTGGCCTCACTACACACTGAAAAGGTCGGTGGTGAAATCCAGTGTTTCTAGCACACCAATCCTTCTATTTCGCAGGAGCCGGCAAATTTGTACCGTCTGAGAGTATGGAAAACGCCGCCATGAGATAATGATAAAAACCAAACATTCTTTCAATCCCACCGAGAGTAGCACGAATAGAGCCCAGTGCCTGGTGTATTAATTGCAGCTATATCCACTTCAATAATTTGTACCAACCTCGCATCGTCTCAACAATATCAGCTCGGAGAACATATAAATAGGACATATAAGGAATAGCATTTGTCGTACTAAAGCTAACCCATAAGTAAATATTTAGTCAGTCGAAACAGTAAGATGTCGTATATTATACTAAAACAAAGCTCGCGTAGAGAAAGGCGAAGCAAGGACCTCAGTGGTGAAGTAATACGTGAGCACCAGCAACGGATAGTGGTGGGTTCCACTTCATCTGAAATCTTAGTTTTGCAAATAACTCGGTGTCATTTCGGTTGTGCTTCACATAGTGCCTTGCTGTGAGAAAAAATAATAAGTAGTAAATGAAAAGTTGAAAGCTATACAAAAACAGTTTAGAAGTGCCATATCAATTTCTCAGCAAGCAATTTATGGCAGTCTGGGACCATCTTCACTGTGAGCATAAAATAATGGAAATATTTCCACATCCCAGAAAAATTTGTAGTTTCAAACAGATTGCTGCTTATACTGAATGTACTCTAGATAGCAATCAAACATGTGGTGGAACTGATTTTCATTCACTTCATGAAATACACTTTCATTTATTTATTGGTAATCTTTGCTTCGAAACTACCGTTTATCTTCGTTGTTATATTAACCTTCATATGGTCAGATGTTCATTATTTTTTCATCAGGGGTCTGTGCTTTCGCCACAAAAATGCCCGCCCTCTCCCTTCCCGTCAACAACAACGTTGCACTTGACGACACTGAAGGATTCGCTAGAATTAGTGCTATAGTTGACGGTGGGTTCCATGCGAATATTACCTTTTCTCACATAAAACACAAAAAACCGCTGCTGAAAAAATTTTTTAGTTTGCACTGTAGTTGTAACGTGAAAATAATTGTATTGGCCATCTGCCTAATTACCGTGGTTAGGCGTCGATTTGGAATTGGTTTAAACGCTTGTTGGGCACAGTGGTTGGAGGTGGCCTGTGAGATTAGTAGTAGTCGGTTTGGTCTCCTGCCTAAAGCAGAACAAGCCTTTTGTTCATTCGGGATCGACTTTGTGAAATTTCTCTACCTGCTAGTCTTATGCGGGTATTGCACATTGTATGGGCCAACGGTGCATTAACTTGAATCTAGCACGCTTCAAGTGAATATGAATGCGTGGCACATCCTTCAAGGGTCGACGCAGTAGCGCTTTTATCCATTAGTGATAGCGTTAAGACAGCTCACATGAAAGCGGAAAACGTTCAGTGTTTTTCAGGATGCTCTTGACTACCCTAGTGCAGACACTTTCCGAAAACAGCAACCGTCATCAGTCTTGTTCTCTTCGCAATTCAACTTAAAAACTTGCATTGCGCAGTTCTTGCGAAGAAGGATTTGCGAAGAAAATTAGCAAAAAACATCGTTACGAGTCCTATCATTTACCTCCAAATTCTTTTTTCGGTTCATCTTTTGATTATGGCCAGTTTTTCGACTGACGGGAGTCCTTCGCAAGATGCTGGTTTAAAGGTGATGGCCACAGTTTCGGAATCACAACAAATGTTTGCTTGCCGTTGTTATTTTGATTGAATTATCGTAAACGTTCGGTTTCTCCTACCTGATGAATTAGCGGTATGTGTTCTTTAAAGAAAGGAAAATAAGGAAGCGTTAAAAAAGTAGAAGAAATCTTGCACATAATCTAATGCATCCACTCCCTGTGCAATCAAATCTTAGATTAATAACGATGAACTACTGCTTTCTATTGAATCTGAACAGCGCTGGCTTTCTTAATTGAATACCTCTATGTTCCACCATCATGAAAATTTTTAGTTGGATGGTGGCTTCCTCTTCAATATTGACTTAATAATGAAAGACATTCCTCTCTAAAAGAACCGTACTAGAACTAAATGAGACCAATAGGTCACCTGTCGCTTTTCGCCTGTAGATCCGTTGATCGTTGAGTGACTCGTCAGTAAAACTTCCATTTTCCCCTGTCATGTGCAAGAGTAGCCCAGTGGGTACTACTCGTCCTAGAAACTCGTCGAGCATCATATCTTTCTTCTAGGTTTTTAGTTAAGAATTCTGACCATCGAGTCGATAGTCTTCCTGCAGTGCGTTTAACATCCCGAAGAATTCAGTCACTAGCGGCTCCTGTCCATCGGTTGTCATTCATACGCATTACGTGTTCGGCCCTCCTTATCTTCGACTGTTTGACGTACAGAACGAAACCTTTGATTTTTGATCGTTGGCGCAGGTCGGAGATTTAATCCCTTCCCTTACTTGTGTGAAACGGGATACTCCTAGCAACGTCTTTCTACTGCGCGTTCAATAATGCTGAGTGATTTTTCATCCCGTTTACGCAGCGACAAGGTCTCTGACGGATACGTTAACGCAGGAAGTACCGTTGAGTCGAAAAGGTGGGCACGGAGTTAGGTGTTCTCTGTTCTCTTCACTACATCCTCGATACTCTTGAAAGCTCCCCAAACCAGTCGTTTCCCTCTGCTCAGCTCTGGAGCTAAGTCGTTCAACATGTTGATTTCCCGACACAGATAGACATAACTGGAGTATTTAGAGATATTCGTTCCGTTGAGCGTGAATGGGGCATACGAAACCAATCCGTTCCTCATGAACATCGTTTTTGTTGAATTTAGTCGAAGACCAGTCTTTCCACAGGCTTTATCAAAGTCGGCAAGGATACGTTCCGCTTGGCTATTGACTGGTGTTATAAGGTCGATGTAATCAGCAAAGTGAAGATGATGTAACTGCCGACCATCGATTTTCACTCTCATGTTATCCCTTTCCAATGTTCGCGTGACGGTCTCGAGGGTGGCGGTAAATAGTTTTGGCGAGATGGTATCGCGTTGCCTAACTTCTCTTTTGACGTCAATGTTAATATTGTAGTATAATGGTGATATCTTGTTTTTTGTACAGCTCACGAAGAATCCTTATGTACTGAGTAGGGACTCCTTGACTATCAAGGGCTTCCAAGATTGCTTCTATCTCACTTGACATTTTTCGATCACTATTTCTTTCGTTATTGCTGTAGAAGAATTAGCGATTAAGCCTGATTTCCTTATTTAAGCACCTGTACATTCACGGTCAGGTATCGAATCGAAATATGGTGCGATTTTCGATTTATTTTAAAAATTTGAAAGAGCACAAGAGTGAGGCGTTCAACTTTGACCAGTGGGTTAGGGATACACCATGTGTTCTGCTCCATTGGGAGAATGGTAGTGCGGATTGCATGCTCATTTGGCCTCCGAAGTAATTTGCTAGAGCGTAGCCACCTAATAAGTCAGTTTTCTACGCTCCGTACAATCAATGGAGTAATAACAATGGGGGTTAATAAAGGATTTTTCAAGCTTGCACTTAATTTCTGAATTAGTCGTCAAACACTTCATTTCGCTTTCACACGCGCTTTTTCAGGTCAGTGGAGTCGTGGACAAGCACAGATGGCCGTGTTAGCCGTTATGTTGGTAGCGATAGTAGTTTTAATGGTAGCTATAACTACATCAGAGTTCTTCAAGAGAAAATCTCGTGGAAGCGGTTCGCAACACGAATGCAAGAAAGGTATCCTTCCCAAAGCATTTTCATTTTTTTTTTGAAAGAATGCTCACCTTTTAACTGTTGGAACTAAAATAACGTGTTAGTTTCGTTTCTAAAACTGGAATTATTCCATTTGTCCACGACACATCGCCAATGATATGCTTGTTATCTTCGGCTTGAATAACGCATCTACTACAAAACCGATATAAACCACATTTACGACCAACTGCGATGTCGTCGTTGTAGAACATCGCGAACATCCGGACATCGCAACACAGGCGCCGTGGTTTTTTACGGTCCAAGTATGAGAACATCAGCAAATAAGCTGGGTGAGCATTCTCTCCACCAAATGGAAAGGTTAGAAAGCATTACTTGTTCATTTCCTGAGCAGCTGAAACCTTGAGATCAGTAGGTCTTCCATCCCACCATCTTTGCTACCATACTTATCATGGGGACAGCAGCACTGACTTGAAACATCTGTAGACTACTGCGAGTTACAGGACAAGCCATGTATGCCCGCGGTCACCTCAATGGTGTTCCGAATACGGTCGAATTCATGGCACATCTCTTAGGAATTGATTAACGCTGAACGCTTTATCTTCTAAGCCTGGTTATTTATCAAGTTTACAATAAGGCCCACCTTAAGGTATTCTATGCGGCGTTATACGAGCTGAAGTGTTGTCACTGAAGGAGACCATTGTTTTGGCACGAAATGCTTTGTCCCGAATGCATGCACAACGTTGTCTATTACAGTAAACAGCAGCACATTTTTTTATAAACATAAACAACCAAGAAATTCTCACTTATTGAAAACTTTCAAATGGAGTTCTTGTGTAGTTATTTGTTTTTCGTTTCAGTGACAACACCGGAAGTTCCAACGTCTCCACAGTTCGTCTCACCCCCATCGGCAGTGGTGGTGAAGTCTTCTACCTGAGCAGTCTTCATAATATTTTGACGATGAAGGGACTTGCAATACAAGATTCATAATGAGCTTAAGGCAAAGAGTAACTATTCTTTTGAATACTAACCATTTCTCCTCAATACCACGGATTTATACGCTAACTCTCTGCTAACTTCTATGCACAACTATTCTCATCTTTTACATTACGAAATTAACCTTTGCAATAAGTGACCTCCTCGATCTCTATATTTTGGTTTCGCAATATACTTTCACTTTGCCATTCCGGCTTAAGATGAGAAACCCCACTATCAACCTTCCACGCACCTGCATGATATACTTGTAACCTCTTCCCCTTGATCTGTACACTTTTGTGTACTATCTGATAATCATGGATGCACAGTTTCGAAAGTGCCCAGTAGTTCCACCGTCCCTTCATAATCCGTATGCAAACTCAGCCATCCAGTTGTTCCTGCATTCTCGTTATCATCGTATCGTTATTGTTGTATGGATATTGTTGCGCATAAAGCTTTAATTACCTAAACTGGTACCCGTTGTGTGGCAAAAACAAAAAGTCCTGTATGGCAAATCGCATGGAGACAAGCATTCCCTGCAGGATTAACTGGTTTTTGGCAGAATCAGCTAAGTAGATGAACTGTTTGCCATTGAATTGACTAACACGTTCTGGTGCAATGGCCTAGGTAGCGAATCGAAGGAACCACAAGAGAATGGATCACAAAGCGTGAAACCCATGAAATTAAAAGAAGTTCGTCCACACTCATTTTGTGGCGACGTCCTCACATTCCTGAGGCGGGATATTTAAACGAACACCATTCTAGTCTCCCAGTAGTTTTAAACAATACTAAAAATGCCAGCTCCGATGATATTAGTCGGAAGCAATATGTCACAGCTCTCCAACAAAAGCTGCACAGAGCAAAACTCGTGTTAGAATTTGACATAATGACATGAAAACCGTCGAAACCGCACTGGATAGCAACAAAGTAGCATCAGTCCACCTTGATCAGAACACTCCATCATTACAGGCGGTGCAGGAAAGAGTTGAAGCAAAGAGAGAAAGCAGAAAGAACACTTGATCTGCTCGACAAGGAGGCAGACGATCTATCAAAGTGTTGTCAATTTTATCTACTGCACATTCTTTCTCCGCGGAAGGGTATGATGTGAGATATAACCGTAATGATTCAGAAATATTTCCAAAGCCCCGAAACGCAGGTGTTCGGGGTGAGGATCAAACCTGCTATTAAGCTTTCAGGGTGTTAATGTGTTAATGTGTTCACCACCACACCATGCTGGTGCTGCGTTTCGCCCTTCTCTCAACCTTGAAAAAGGAAGAAAAGAAAAAACAGAAAGCAGAAAAAGACATTGCTTTTGTAACAGCCCTTTGAGGAAGAAAATACCCAGATTTATCAATTATCAGCAGTTCACAGTATTTAGAGTAGCCTGTTGCAGAAGAGTTTCTATTTGTTGAACTGCGACTGAATAGCGACAGTTCATCTCATCTTCAACGTAATCTAGTCCGATGAGTTCCACATTTTGCTACGGTGGATCAACCAGTCCCATATGTCTGACGACCGTCACCACCTTCCTGGGAAAAACATAGGTGCAAAGAGCAAACAAATATTCACGAAAGATAAGGATCAACAATTCAGTGAGTTGAAGGCTGGGAGAAAACCTTACGCAGTTTCCTTATGAATTTCTGGAAGGGAAAACCATCTCTCTCGATAAGCAAATCAAGATGGATGGCGAAAACTTAGAAAAACCTTGCAAGGCTAATTTTCATCCACAGAGAAAGAGAATCGTCCTATGACAAGCGAATTCGCGGGAATTGAAAAGTTAGAAAACATTTAGTACGGTCGTATTTCGAAAATCGGTGAAAGCAGATCTTTCTCATCCATAGAACTAAAGTGAATTGACGATTTAATAAAAACATTGCGCAGCCGAACTTTAATTCTAGAGAGGAAAAATTTTCTCGAGAAGGAATCGTCAGGTAAGTGAAATTGTTCGTCGTGGTGAAACGCTGAAGGAGGTATTCAGTTAGGTAAGCCACCGCTGCGTAAATTTAACAGAAAGCAACATTTATTTGAGAGTGAGGAAAAGCTGGAACCCCATTATAAGGATTATATGCAGGCGTTCCACTAGATTTCGACGTTTCTTTGCATTTAAGCGCATCAACGCGTGTAATGCAAGTTTTTAATTCGAGTTATAAGGCCGGTAAAATAGTGACGCCACCGGTTTCCAACAGGAGTTCGTATTACAGTATTCGAACGTCTACAAAAGCACAAGAAAGTTTTCGCTTTCTATGTGAACTAAGCTGATGCTATGATTAAAGGGTAAAGCGCTCAGCATCGACCATGGGCCACGTTTCCTTTCCCTTCGTAATGGCGCAGAGGTTGTCGAATGGAGATTTGACCCCTACAATGAATCGATGGGACCTCGAAGAAAAGCAGGTCTCCAATTCTCGACCCCAAATGAACAGAAAACGCATTCTGCCTTCGCTGAGATGACCCTTAATCATTCGGGCCGCCTTCAACAATGCGTTTATACGATCATTTGCATTAATCCTTTAACAAATCCTCATCACGGTAGTTAAGTGAGTGGCCAAGATAACGATAGGTCCAAACAATAACGCAGACCAAAAAATTGTCTCAATAGTTTTTTTATGCCCTTATAAGAGAAATAATAATATTCGTAGAGGTTCCACCATTAATTATAGCTCTTCTTCCAACGTATCGTTCAATGTCGTAACGTGTGACGCTGTAGCCATCGAGAAGAGAGAGGATGGGCATTTATGTGGGGACTGTGATAGTGTGTAAGGTAATTTTGCTAAAAAACGGATACGAATGTAATTTTTGAAGTGATTGTTCTCATGGGAAGCATTTCTCTCCACCACTAGTAGTCTCTGGGCCGTCGAACTCTGTTGTTTGTGCAGATGCAGTTATGGAACAAATTGGTTTTCGCCAGTTTGGAAACATGAGATTCACAGTGAACTCACAGTGTGGAAAGCCACGTACTTTTAAAAATTGCTCAACAAAAATTTCTGCTTTACGCAATTCTAAACGTCTTGATTTAATGTTCCATGTCATGCCGTTTCGATCGACTATAAGTCTTCTGGAAAATTTATTCAAACCGATCATTCTTGCTGAAAGGCCAGTTTTAGTATTGCAAATGTTTTTTCTGTATGCTCAGCGCATAATCAGCAACGTTCTTTAAGTAGGATTCAATGTAAACTGTTCGATAACAAAGTAATGAAGCAGTTAGAGCTCATGGACTAAGCACGCTTTCTATGTTTACTGGATGGAAAAGTGGTGTAAGAATCCTGTAAGAGATACTCTGCCTTGATATATCACTAGGGCTAGACGTCTACGAAGAGGTATCCAGACATCCTTACTTTGGTAAGGTGGAGCTGAATGCACGATGTATTCCCTGTAAAAGTGAATTCCTTTAGTTAGCTTCAGGCTTCTGAATTAACGATATCGAATTAGCATTGAAGAAACGGTTAGTAAAAGACTGTGGATTTGATCAAAAGACCATCCATGGATAATCGAATTTCTGGTAGATGTTTTTCTTCAATAAGCAGACACGAGGTTGTTATTATAGGATTTGATATACATAGGATACAGTAGCCGACGCTTCGCCGGTTTCGCCTTCTTCACAGCTTGGGAAGGTCAAACTGAGATGCGATCTACCCAGCCAAACACTTTTATAACCCCAGCAGATAAAACTTTATTTAAACACTCGCCGTTTATTCGTTGTAAGTATTTCAGTTAGTTGGTGGAGAGCCGCTGCGCAGAGTAAGGCGAGGAATGTGCCTGAGTTAACTCACAGAATGGGCCTGAGGTATGGTACCACGTCACGCGTGATGACAAGACACTTCTCCTTACGGCTCACTTTTATATTTTTTGGAATTGATCCAAAACGCTTCAAGAGTTTTACGCGCTGATGTTTTTGATTCCTGCGTAAGGATAGTGACTCCTACCTTAAAATCTTCTCCGTTGTGTTCCTGCATCCTATGTGCGCCTAGTGGAGTGTTTTGTTTTAAATTAGATTTACCGACTAGGCGTTCTTTTCTGCGGACGTAGAGCGGTCTACCCGTTTCGTCAACGTATTCGTCCCCGTATGCTTTACAAGAGATCAGATGGACTGTACCCGAACTCATGCAATCACCGTCTCTACCATTTGGGCAAATTAAGCAGTTTTTTGTTCTACATAGACGGCCATATAGGCGGTTGCCAACTAGCTGTTATGTTAGAGTGTCCTATGGTATTTCTATCACTCTTACGGAATTCTCTAGACCGGCCCTTATTAAGCAACGTTTTATAGCTGCACCTATTTCGTTTGAAATAAAGGGCAAGAGGAACGGAGCTTTGTTTTCGCTAGAGTTATCGCTCTGGAGCGTGGTTTTTCCTCTATTCCTATGCCGAGAAGCTACAGTTTCCTAACCGTTTGAAATGGCTATTTGGCGCGCCAGTATGTGAGGAAAAGCTGCGTGAAGTATGTCCAGGTCCCGAAACAGGCGAACTCTTTGAAAGATCTCTACGAGAACAGTTCCCTTGTTTTAAAAAAAATGTAGAATTCACTGTGATTATTGAGCCTTGCGAAATCAGATATCTTCCTATGACTGCTGACGGTTTCTTAAACCACCAGTATACGAGATAAGCCGCAAAGACGAAGAAGGATGTGAAAACAGTTTCGTTGTGAAGCGCCATAATCGATGCCTCGAAATATGTTCGCAGCTTCTCTTCAAACGAATTTAGAAAAGACTACCTGATTGATTTTTGTGTTCTCCTATACTTCCGTCTCTGTGCAGTGATCATCTTATGGTCTTGACAGTGTTCACGTGAAAATCTTCCCGACAACATTGCTGAATTCAGTCGCAATGTCTTCTTTTTCTAAGAACGAATCAATCACCAGTCACTATAAATTGCAATGGATGTTTCAGATGTCGTGTTTGTTTCATTTTCTCTTTATCAAGTATCGTTGACGTCCAGCGCTATCTCGAAATTCGATCATCTATAGAT